CGAGGGGTATGGGTTATGACAGCTTCGACTGTAATCGCCTAACTGGATGTGGCGAGATGGGTGAGCGAGGTGGATGAGGTCGTGGTGGAGGAAAAGAGAGAGGCCCTGGTGCTATGTCCGGGCTTTTATTTGAAACAATTTTTTTTTTCAAATATTCGGGTGGCGGGCGATGAAGGGGGTTCGGGGGCCTTCTTTACATGAGGTATTCTTGTAGACTTGGTTCTTATGGCATCGTTCGATTTTTGCCCATCATCTTAAGTCCCGTCGTTCGATCCCCCCTTGAAACACTTTTTTCTCTCTTCTTTACCACCACCGAATCCCCGCAAGTTTCGCGTGTGACCCACACATTCACCTACCGGTTGTTTCAGTGCTCACTTCATCGGCCTCGCCTACGGCCACTGCATCAAGCAGATCAAAAAGGTCCTTCTCGTCATTGCCTCCGCCGCCGAGTCCTTCACCAAAACCAAGGAGGCCGTCCCTCTCCTCAAGTCGCTGAACGCCTACGCCGACATCATCAAGGTCTCGAACTCCTGCAAGCTGCGCACCGGCGAAGGAAAGATGCGCAACCACAGACACCGCCGGCGCCGTCGTTGTGGATACAGAACCGTCGTCAATAAGGCCATTCTCTTCCGCCTCAACCTGTATGCAAAGACCATCCGTGTTGTGCCGTTGTACCTACATACCCAAGGGAATACAATACCAAAATACTTTTGGCTCAATTCAAATGCAGGAGGTGTTGTAAGTAGTGTGGAACTGCTGAGTTTCACACATCTCTTCCACCTGAATGATCTTGTCAACGTGGCCAATTGTGTCAATCGGGTTGTTTCAATCTTCATGCACAGGACATGTATACTGGAACAATTGAATTCAATTGGAGTTTTACATGATGGTGGATAGTCGAACAGGAACAATGATTTGTCGAGCTTCAGTTGAGTACAAGTTAGGACGAGAAGGGAAGGGAAAAAATAGGAAACCTCACCTGCTGGTGGTATTTGAGCGCAAGCAGTGGCGGTGATGCTAGCAAGTCGAAGAGCGGCTTGTACTGGTTGTATGCCAGGCCCGCACCCTTGTTATCTTTGCCGCTCCTACACGCGCCGGTGTCGTCGTCATGGCTCAGGTTCATGTGGTTGTTGCAGCTACCGTTGGGGGCCACTGCGGGGTCACTGCCGCTACTGTCGGGCGCGCTCTTGTCGAACTTGCAGTGGTGTTCCTGCTTGCAATAGAAAGTCCGCCGCACCCACGTGCACCGCAGGGCGGCGCGTAAGCCGCCCACCCGCTGGCCGGAGGCATTAGCGCTAATAGTCGACGGCCGCGAGGAATGACGGCAGCGTGGATCGTGTTCTGCCCACGAGTTATCCGCATCAGTCGCATCCAGCATGCGTGAAACGGTTGTTTGTGTGTGGTGCATCATCGTAAAGACTGAATCTTGTCCTGAAACCCGGAGAACCCCCTCCAGAATCGGCGGCAGCGGAAACAATGAACACCTATTGCCAAGCTTGGAGCTTCATGAGGACGTGTGAAAGGGCATGGAGGCGCGTTAGTTCTGTCCTGCAGTGCTTCTCCGATGCAGATGGGCGGCGAGAGAGGTGAGCTTGAGGCGAGACGGCGTTGAGGATATGGAGGCAGCGTACAGCAGGTGACAGTGACCGTCACACATAAGTTATGCCAAAAAAGGCATGTCGTGTGCCCGGACACCGCACCAGGGCCAAGAGAGACAGCAAACAAACCATGGCCAAATATTTGTATTGTTCTATTCACATCACGTGTTTTTCCCCGCCAAAATTTTCTAAGTGCCTCTTGCTCTCCCAATGCTATACACTAGGCCTTCCGCCGCCGTCTCTTGAAGGCTCTCAGGCAGATATCTTTTGGCTCTCTGACACGCGGTTGTCAAGGAGCAGCCTGAGCCAGCCCACCAGTGAAGCGCAACCTTGGCGCAACTCGCGATCAACACTGGTGTCGCACGGAAATCTTGGACGAGCAAAGTGCAGGATGTGCTGAACTCCGAGCTCGAGGTATGTAAATCCAAGGTATCCTATTTTCGCACTGACACAGTCACAAGGCTGCACAGCACGAAGTCTTATTCCACCACCTCTCCCAAACCAAGATTTGCGCGTGCACAGTCAGCTTGTCCGCACCCCAACGCGCTCACACCATTCGTGCAGCTTGCTCTATGTTCCTGTAGGGATTCTGCTCTGCCGGCTCACTAGTACTTACACACCTTATCAAGTCTTTTGTTCACGAGCCGCAGCACCTGAACCGCTTCCACTCCGTATCCCGAACCACGCAGTCCAGAGCCTCTGTCGCATAGGCGCTGTCCGACTCTGCACGCCTCAATCCCCCATAGCGCCTGCACAGACATGTCCCTCGACACTCACTTGTGCTCTGTCGCTAATGGGCCCGCATCATGGTCGAGCTCCGCGCTGGGGGCCCTTGTGCAGCGCCTTGTCTTGAGGTGCCTTGCACCGGTGTGCGCCACCATACACATTCCCCTTGTGCTCGCGTTGGCCGCACGCTGATGCCCGCCGTTATCTGACACCCACCGTGCCCGCCAGGTCGCTCTTCACCCCGTCATACCCAGACGCCTCCTCCTCCCCCGCCGCCGCGTCCAGCCTCACTTTGCTGCCCTCGTACAAGTCGTCCCCGTCGTGGAACTCCCAGCCGCTGAGGAAACTCGCCGTGAAGAATGTGCCACACCCCGACGCAGACTTCCCGTCCGATGGTAGCGAGGTTGGCACAGACGGCGGGCGCTGTGATGCGGACTGCAGTGCTTTAAACTGCCAGATGGTGGGGAGATCCGGGCTATGTTTAATGCTCGTCCTCTAGGGGGAATTTGTTCTGTCGCGGTAGACAAGTACGTAGGGAGGTTTTAAATAATATTGGTGGGGATATCCGTACAAGGATTCGAACAGTTGGTTCAAAATCCTACTAGCTAGGGTGGTCCGAGCGAACTCCGATGCCTAGTTAGCCTTCTCGGGTTAACGGAGATTGAATCTGTTCCACACTTCCTCGGGGAGGAGCTTCGGAAGGCGATGCGGGGTCCAATTTGTCAAGTCCGAGGTGAAATATGGATTTGGGGGCTTCCTGGACCACGAACCACAGTTGTCCGAAGTATCTTTGAGTCGTAGATTGTAAGACCGGGGGATTTATGTGTTTGTGATAACGTTCTGGCAATTTCTCCTCCCTTTACCCCTTTTTGTGCCTCTACAGAGTTTCCTCTCTCTACTTCTCACCCATTCGCTTGCTGAAGGCGACTTCCTGCGGGCTCTGCACCGCCAACTTCCTTAGCTAGCAGCTACACACGAACTCTGAAGACCTCGTTGTGCTGTTTGAGAGATTTCACTGCCCTACTTGCGTAGGGGAGGAATAAACGGTTCGATTTCTCCGGCGCTGAACTTTTTATGCCGAAAATATAAACTCCGTTCGCTGTCTGACGGCGGCGAGGGAGTACCGGGGTCACTTTTACTGTGTAACTCGACTCTGGGTGACCTCTAGGTGATGTTCGGGGCGGATATTTAGCTACTCCTAAGCTGGCTAAGGCTTAGAAGGTGAGGATGTGGGCCGAAACTGAGATGATATTTTGGTAGACTAGCTGTAGTATTTATACCCCAGCCCAAGGCTGTGCCGGAGTTGTTCCTTTGTGTCCCATACCTGCTCGCTTGCACGCTCCCCCGCCCCGGAGTTCGCTTATGACTCATTCAAGAACTCCGTGAACCCTTACCCGCACCATCTTCAGTCAGGCACCGATTCCGCAACCCGGACTTGTTGGCCCTAGTCTCGGACACTCCATGTCCGGCCCTAGCTCTCCTCCTATCCGGCTTCCGCCTGCGACGGCTCGATAGCGTAGTGGAAACGCACTCCGTATCCTTTCACCCCAGTGTTTGACTTACGGAAAGTCCGGAGTTCAATCCTCCGTCGGGCCCTTTTCCCATGCTACCCACCTTTTTTGATTACCCGGAGTCCTCGTTCCATCCTTTCAGGCCGTTTGGTATTCGCGACTCGATGGCGTAACTGTAACGCATCCTGCCATGGTTCTTGCACAAGCGCGTCTTTTGCAGGAAGTCCGGAGTTCAATCCTCCGTCGAGCCATCCCTCTTTTCCATTCCTTTTTCGTGCACCTCTTACCGGACCTTCGTATCGCTCGCACACATGGTCCGGTGGCGTAGTGGTAACGCACTCTGTACGCGTAGCTGGCAGGAAACTGAAATAATGGAGGGACCGGAGTTCGAATCTCCAACGGGCCTTACGTTCTTTTTGTCCGTCGAGTAAGAAGATAGGGCGCGTTTTTGAACGGTTCAGTGGCGTAATGGTATTGCACTCCGCATTCCTATGTAGTTCGCGGTATGCTTCACGGAGAGTTCGGAGTTCGATTCTCCATTGAGCCATTATGAAGAAAACCCTTCTTTTTTCATGGCGATAGTTTTTTGGCTGGTCTTTCGATTCCTACGGCTTGGTGGCGTAATGGTAACGCACTCCGTGATGATCTAATGCATTTTTATATCGATTGACGGAAAGTCCGGAGTTCAATTCTCCGTCGAGCCATTCCGACGGAAACCCTTCTTTTTTACGGTGATCGTCTTGGCTGGTCGTTCGACTCCTACGGCTTGATGGCGTAATGGTAATGCACTCCGTAATATGCACATTTTTATATCGATTGACGGAAACCGTTCTTTTTGCAGCGATCGTCTCGGCCATTCATACGGCTTGTTGGCGTAGTGGTAACGTGCTCCGTAGCGATATGTAACGTTCGCATATCACGGAAGGTCCGAAGTTCGATTCTTCATCAAGCCTTTGACGATAACCATTCCTTTTCCCGGTCTTATTGGCATTTTTGGTAGTCTGGTCATGGCTTGGTGGCGTAATGGTAACGCGCTCCGTGTACCTAACGTTCTCATATCGGTTGATGGAAGGTTCGGAGTTCGATTCTCCGTCAAGCCATGTTGGGTCGGGATATGATTTTTAACTCGTGGTCCTTGGTGGCCATCGAGTTGGACTTCTTGAGTGGCTTGGTAGCGTAGTGGTAACGCGCTCCGTGTTACTAATTTATATATCAGTTGACGGAAAGTCCGGAGTTCGATCCTCCGTCAAGCCATGGATTGGGTCCGGATAACATTTTTAACCGGTCCTTGGTGGTCTTGAGTTCGATTCTCGAATGGCTTGTTGGTGTAATGGTAACACATTCCGTGTACCTATAGCTATCGGTTGATGGAAGGTTCGGAGTTCGATTCTCCGTCAAGCCACTAGTTGGGTCCGGATATCATTTTTACTTAAGGCGTTGTTCTCGGAGTTCAGTGTTTTGAGGTCACGTCGGGAGCTATCACAATGTGATGGCTCACAGCGCCGCTCGTTGTGATAAGGACCGCGGTGCTACTGTGTGTAGGAAGTTGCTTCCCGAGGGTAGCTGTGTTCGTCCTCTAGGGGGCGTTACGAGGTGTAATACCGATTTAGAGCGGAGGCTCGTGTGGTACGCTGGTCGATTTCGTGTGGGAGTGGACCCCGCGTGAAGCCCCGCATGGAGCGCACTGAAAGAACGTGTGTGTGTGTGTGTCGGTCGGTCGAAGCGTTCAGGCAGGACTTCCTACACGAAGTACTGGTCCTTTCTGAACTCCCAAAGCTTTCTACTTCGACTGCAGTCGGCTGCCTTTTCCCCAACGAACTAGGTGCGCAAACGACGGTCTGAGGAGGGACGCAGGTGCAGCTCCGTGAGAACTTCGACGTCTACGGGAGTTGGAGTCCGACGATGGGTGTGTCGAATGTCCTTCCGAACGTAGGCGATTTGCTAGGCGGGCTTTCAACAGGCTCCCACAACTACAAGACTGCGAAGTCTGTGCTGGAAGGTGTACCACGGAGAAAGGTACGAGGATGAGTGTGGCGCGAGACTTCAAAGAGAAGCTGCAAGGAAGGTGGACAGTCAAATCTGGTGTATTGATTGGCACAAGTACACTCTAGACGAGCAGGGGAAAACTTGTACCAAGACCTGGCTATCCTACAGTGCTAAAACTACGTCCCTTTTATACCCTCAGGCTGCACAGCCCCAGTTCCGTAGGAATCAGGTCGAGTGCGGTCCCCCGGAGGAGCTGGACGCTCAAAATAGGTGTAGGATGAAGTGTACGACCAAATTTAGGTCGAAAAGGTCGATGCCCCAAGTGCTGCAAGTGCGTCCCCAAGTGCGGCAAGGGTGTCCCCAAGCGCAGCTCGGGTCTACAGTTGAAGAGAGGGCTCGAATATGCAATGCGAGGTCCGAAAATGGGCGGAATGCCCGTGAGGACCGCGCGAGGTGTTGAATTTTGGGGTGAATATCGAACGTATCCTGGATTCTGGGGTGGGTTTACAGTTGTGCCCTGGATACGGGCCCAGGCTGTGGCAATATCCCATAGGAACGAGGGTGGAGGCCGCGAGTGGCGATGCGTAAGGGTGAGAGCACGGGTGCGGATGGGTGCCGAAGATGAAAGCGCGGGCGCGGACGAGTCGTGCTGCATAGGGGGCTGTCGTCGTCGAATGGTGCCTTCGTTGGGTGTGGATGTGGTCGCGGTCGTGGTGAGGGAAGCAGCTGCAGACGAGCCGCGGTTGGGGAAGTTTCCATATGCGGATTCTTGATACTTCCAAATCGGGCGATTGGTCTCGTCCTGTGGATGCAGTGGTGCGAGGGCACACGCAACGCGTGTACAGCCCTCACATCGTGCACCCCGAGCCGCGCCGGCACGCGCCACGCGCTCCCCCACACCCCGCGGCTCTCTGTCCCTGCGTTGTTCTCTGTGCTCGCGACACCCATGAGCAGGTGCAGCCGCACGTACCACTTGAGCTCGCCCATGCTGCCGTCCGCTGCGACGACGCTGAACTCGCGGGACTTCCATCACTCGGGACGTAGGGCGAAGCCCAGGCGAGTGCCCAGCACGAATCTCGATGAGATGAGTGGGGCCAGGGCGGGGAGAAACGGGGACACACCGTGCACGGTGCTCCGCGTGCATGCGCCGCAGATAGTGCTCCGTTGCGGACGTGCTAGGCGGGGGGGGGCGTGTGCCGGCGGCAGCAACTCGTGCACCTCGCGCAGTGAGCTGCACGACATTAGCTCGTAATTTATTAAACACCCCGAGAGTCGGCGAATACACACACCTGCAGCGCATGCCCCCTTCCCTCACGCCAATTCACTTCCACCATGCCATTCACCGTCTCGCCCAGTTGGAACGCACCCTTGGGGAACGTCAGCACGGCGACTGTCACGCCGTCCTTCGTGATATCGTAGGAGACTGGGATTTTGCTCATCAGGACGAATATACACCATTAAAGAGGGTACACACCGCGTGAGCACCTCGACGGCCTCACGGGCCCACGGCACCCGCTGAGGCCGCCGCTCCCCGCACCCTCGGAGTTAGCCAAGCGGAAAGTCAGGTCAGGAGGAGTCGATGACTCGGCTGATCAGCCTGGGTCCAAAGCTGAACTATACAGCTGTTGTTTTCGTAGACCTTTGCTGCAACATACTATTTATGAATTTATGCACAATTCGAGATACTCTTATCTTATAGTTGTTGTAGGACCGTAGAGATGCCACTTGGTACTTCTAACAAGCCTCCTTTACAGAACATGAATATTGCTACTGGAGATGCCAGTCTGCTAAGGAGATGTCAGCCTGCTAGCGAGCGCTAGCGAGAATCTGGAGTGCTAGCGAGAACCCGGGTTGCTAGCGAGCGCTCTCGATCATGATCGCTAGGGCGCTAGCACCTAAATCAGGGTTTGCTGAGTACCCAACATTTTCATCCCAACCCATGCTGCCAATTGCAATCGTCTCGCATTTCAGTACTAGTTGCAACCAGGTCTTCCTGTGGTTATATGGAATGTCCTTCATCTCGAAGACCATGCTCCTCCTCGTGTTGATAGCTGCTACTACTACACACTATCAACTCTCATGTCCCCGCAAATCATGACACTTGAAACGTGTTTCGCCGTATGCAACGCTGTGGTCCTATGCGATCTGGGAAAGCGTGGATCAACCCATTCGCCGACTTATCCTTCCTATTGCCGAGCAAGGCGAGAGGGCAGCCGCAGTATACATGCTCAGCAAGTGGAGCATACATTTGCTCAATCTGGCGGTGTGTAGACGTCGCTTGAATCTCACGACGTTGCTAGCTCATGTTACACCGGCAGTTAATCAAGCTTGTCTGTCTGGACCACACTCGCTTCCCAAAAAAGAACTACCAAGAACATCTCCACTTCACCTTTCTGTCCGGACCGAACATTGTCTTCTCGAATGGAGAATAATGGAAGAGGCACTCCGCAAGTGTCAAGAGGGCATTTAACCAAAACCTCCCAGTCTGTCTTCGCTGAACTGGCAGAGAATGTTTTCAAGAAGATCAGAAAAGGAGAGATCTGGAGCTGGACAGAGATCGTGCAGGTCCGCCTTCTCATGAACAAGTACTTACCCACTGATGTTGAAAGTTGAATATTTAGAAATTCACCCTCGACGTCGTCGGCAGGGCCGCACTGGGTCATGAATTTGCCGCCCTAAAGGTTTCGACGAATAATGAGCTCCCGCTAGTGGACCACTTTAACCGCGTCATGTCGAGCATCGTGAGGCGTGACCGCCTGATGTTCCCGATACTCGACACTCTATTCCCACGGCAGACCGTGATCGATGACCTTCAGGTGCTCAACGCACGGTACGATGAGCTGTTGGTTGAAAAACGCGGCAAGCCTGGACGGGATATTCTGAGGTACCTTCTTGAGGATACATCTTTATCACACGAGGAGCTGGCGTCAAACCTCTCGATTCTTTTCTCAGCTGGCCACGTAAACCGCCTTTCTGCCATTCAATGTAAGCACGTACCAAATTGTTTTAGGATACGACTTCTGGCGCACTCAGCACCGCCGTATACTACCTCTCAATCGACCCCGTCCTGCAGTCGTCAGTGCCGAAGTTCGTGTGATCCTCCGTACTGGCACCGAACCTACATTGGCAAACCTAAAAGCACTTACACTTCTTGACGCAGTTATCAAAGAATCCCTGCGCATTACATAATTCGCCGATCTCGCTCCTCCTCGCCCGCGTGTGTAATACCGATGCCGTGGTCGGAACATACGTCCTGCCTGAGGACGTGCCAATTGTCCCAAACATCTAGGCAGTGCACAACAACAATCGCTTTCACCCAGACGAATCCAGGTTTCTCACTGGTCGGTTCTTGTCGTCGCCGCACGGGGAGGATATGGAAATCAAAGGAGGGACGTTTATTCCCTTCGGCACGGGCCCTAGACAGTGCCCAGCACGTCTGTTTTCTTTGTTCGAGCAAAAGACGCTGCTTGCACTCCTTCTAATGAAGTACGAGTTCTGCTTGCCCGAGGGGAGTGAGCATACCGGACGGCTGAAGAACGAGTTCGGCGCGTTTGGGCTGAGTGTTCCGCACGCGCTCGATGTGGAGTTCAGGGAGTTTGGAATGGGTAAATGATCTCAGTAACAAAATACTTGCTGTGATTCGGCAAGGGATGTTGATATTCAACGATAAATCTATCTTCGAGTCTAATCCGACGTGCGAACGTGCATGCCTCTATTTATACCAATCCCAACTCGAAAAAAGTAGGTGCTGGTCCAGCGGGACCGCTGGCGGCTGCGCGGTATGCATAGATGCCGAAGAAATTTATTCTGTCCTTCATCTATTTGCAAGGTGTTCCAAGGCGGGAGCCTCAAACAGCACCCACTCGCAATAGGGGCGTTGAGTCGTTGAACTCCCCATTTGAGCCCAAGCCATATGCTAATCATGATCGGCACGTACGGTACGACACAGCACTCATCCCTTCCTGATTCGCATCCCGATTCTGATGTCGTTTGACATGTTTTTGTGGGCGGCGGAAAATGAAGGGCGGCGGCCAGATGCATGCTTTAGAGTGAGCGAAGAGAACAAGAACTTGAAAAAGCCAGGTGTTTCTGCAACTGGTGGTACATAGAGCGGATACTGATGAACGAGGTTGCGACATGAAACTTTTGACATTTTGATTATTTTGAAAGGGATTATTCTATTGAGGAATCCAGCTTTCATTGGAAATCCGACTGGCCGATGCATAGCATATGTACACGGCTTAAAGTACTTTGACAGGTGCCAGTAATAGCAAACAGTTTAACCAACGCATATATTACATTCTATGCAAATTACTAAGACTACAAAAGCAACCTTGAATTGACTGAAAACCAATCATTCTTGATATAATACAGTTCCAAGTGCAATTTTACATGTCAATGAAAATCTTTACACGC